CCCCCCCCCGCACGACCTGTTCTGTCCTTCCGATATATTTTGTACCCTGAAATAATTGTGTCCCATTGATTGCTCTCAGTCCACCAGGTTTCTGTGATGCCTATTCAATATCCTCCTTTATCACAAGGCACTCTAGTTCACCCATCTTATTATTTAGACTTCTAGCATTTGTGTACAAGCACTTTAAAAACGTGTCACTGTTTATTTGTCTGCCCTTTTCTGATGTGTCAGATTCTTTTTTATGTGAATGTTTATCATCTGATCTGGCCCTTACATTATCCTCGTCCATCCTCTGCTCCTGACTATAACCTGGAGATTCTCTATCATTAGACTCTCCCCTAAGAGAAGTCTCTGTCCGATCCACGTGCTCCTCTGCAGCAGTCGGCTTTCCCCCATCTCCTAGTTTAAAAACTGCTCTACAACCTTTTTAATGTTTAGTGCCAGCAGTCTGGTTCCACTTTGGTTTAGGTGGAGGCCATCTCTCCTGTATAGGCTCCCCCCATCCCAAAAGTTTCCCCAGTTCCTAATGAATGTAAACCCCTCCTCTCTACACCATCGTCTCATCCATGCGTTGAGACTCTGAAGCTCTGCCTGCCTACCTGGCCCTGCGCGTGGAACTGGGAGCATTTCTGAGAATGCCACCATAGAGGTCCTGGATTTCAGTCTCTTCCCTAGCAGCCTAAATTTGGCCTCTAGGACATCTCTCCTACCCTTCCCTATGTCATTGGTACCTACATGTACCACGACCACCGGCTCCTCCCCAGCACTACACATAAGTCTGTCTAGATGCCTCGAGAGATCCGCAACCTTCGCACCAGGCAGGCAAGTCACCATGCAGTTCTCCCGGTCATCAGAAACCCAGCTATCTACGTTTCTAATGATCGAATCTCCCATTACTAACACCTGCCTTTTCCTAGCAGCTGGAGTTCCCTCCCCCGGAGAGGTAACCTCAGTGTGAGAGGCAACCCCAGCACCATCTGGAAGGAGGGTCCCAACTATGGGAAGGTTTCCCTCTGCTCCCGTTGACTGCTCTGCTTCCCTGGGCCTTTCATCCTCCTCAACAGCGCAGGGGCTGTCTGACCGGAGGTGGGACAATTTTACAGTGTCCCGGAAAGCCTCATCAACATACCTCTCTGCCTCTCTTAGCTCCTCCATTTCCGCTACCCTGGCCTCCAAAGTCCGTATGTGGTCTCTGAGGGCCAGGAGCTCCTTGCACCGAATGCACACATACGCCACCCGCCCACAGGGCAGGTAATCATACATGCTGCACTCAGTGCAATGAACTGGATAGCCCCCACTCTGCAGCTGGGCTTCTGCCTGCATTGTCTCCTGGTTAATGAAAGGGTTGTTCAAGCAAGAAGTTTTGAATGTAGTTTGGTTTATAGGTTTTAAGGGGAATAAAGGGACCCCCGCTCCCTTCCCACTCCCCTTCCAAACTCCCTGTTAGCAGCCCCTGTTCGCAAAAGCTCCCTGGTTACTTGTGCGCTGCTTTATAAAGCCCTGGCCTGTGTGAATGCCCCGCCCACTGATTAAGGCTCAGCCAATTACGAGGCTTCTAGCTTTCAGACCTTCCTTTGAAGCTCACAGCTTCCAACTGCCAGCCACAGCACACGGTCCTTCAAACAACCAAACAGACTGACAAACACAAGCTCAGCACACAGCAAGTAACCCCCAAACACAAACAAACACACACTACAGACAGTCACCCCAAGGATGCTGTATTTGCTCCTCCTTCACCTGGAGAACTCCCTTGCGAAACTCCCTGTTAGCAGCCCCTGTTCGCAAAAGCGAACTTTGATGCTAAAGAGGCAAATCAAGCCTAAACCCGCCTCACAGCCCAAGTAATCAGGCTGTGCCCTGGGGAGCTCGACAGAAGTCAATGGGAAGGAATCTGCTCCTTCAGCTACAGAATGGCAGCTGTCACTCCACAGTCACTACTGCAGCCTTGGTGTTCTGAGGCTCCTGTGCTTCCCTGCCACAAGCCAATGGATTCCAGCAGACACTGCAGCAACAGCCTAGCCGATCGCATCCTCAAAACCCCCTTACATGTTGGGATGCAAGGAGCCCCTCTGTATACAGACAGAATTCTCCTCATACCCAGTGGCAATAAGATATGATTTGCAGAGAACTTGAAATCTTGACCTGTAAAGGCAACTGGCCTTGCCCTGCTCAATCCTCTCAGCTTGACTGTGCTTTATTGACACTAACTCATTTAGGGAGAGATACAGAGTTGCTCTGCACCATTGGAACTTTGGCAGGTAGGCAGAAAATGGTAGACAACGGGACTTGTCAGGCTTCCCTCCACAACCTGTGAGACAATGGCCATGGCCCCATTTCAGCTTTCTAGTAGCAATGACCTTATGCAGGGCTTGTGCTCAAGCGAGTGCAGGGATTGCAGTTATGCTTAACCTCTCCTAGAGGTCACCAAGGTGAGCGAATCCTCACACCTTCCTTTTTGGAAAAGTGGCACAGAAGCTGGGCACAGTCTGGCCCTTTGTAAACACCTCTCCTCCTTTTTTCCTCTTGTTTTTTGCTTCCGTAAGAGCAGTGGAAAGTACAATAACACTGCAAATGCCTTTAGAGGCCCTCATCAGCATTCATGGGACATTAACCAGGAGAAACTCCCAGTGACTCCAATAGCAGTTCATCCTCAGTAGGCAGTGAATAAGAGCTCTAGGTGTGATTTACACTAGTAAATTAGGTCAGTTTAACTATATCAGTGAGGGATGTGAAAAATCCACACCCCTGAATGGTGTTGTTAAGCTAACCTACATCCCCATATAGATAGCGCTAAGTCAATGGAAGAATTCTTCTTTCAACCTAGCTACTGCCTCTCAGAGCGGTGGAAGATCTATGCCGACAGGAAAACCCTTCCTCTCAGGTAGTCTCTACACTGAAGCACACAGCTGTGCCGCTGTAGCGTTCTAAGTGTAGACACACCTGTAAATATGGTCCATTCCCTGTATACATTTTTGGGGATTATTAGATATAAAATCAAACAGGAGAGCTGTTTATATCTTGTAATGATTTGAATAAATGTAAAAGAAAACAGCTGAATTAGACATTTTGGCGGACTCAGTTGTTATCTCTTCTGCACAGAACTTGTAAACAGCTTTTTCTAAAAAGCCCAGACTTCAATTCTAAACTCATAGACTAAAAATGTTTTGAAGTGTGGTTTTACCAGATCATGCTTTCTTGAATTTTGTTGTTGGCACCTGATTTTTATCAGTTATGAGAGACCTTGACTCCATTTTTCTGATTTATCAATATGTTATAGCCCTGTCAATGACATTCGCTGAAGAAATCTAGCAAATGCTAGGAAAGGTTGTTTTGAAGCTTAGCACTGATATTTTGTTTGCCTGCTTGGTTACAATTTGTAAACCATTGTCTGCCCAGATCTGCAGTTTACTACTCTCCAATTTGTCTGACAGGTAAGCTGCAAGGTGCTGCAGTTTTTTCACCAGTACATGCTGGGTTGTAACTACTTCTGGATGCTCTGCGAAGGCATATATCTTCACACTCTAATTGTGGTGGCAGTATTTGCTGAAGAGCAGCGTTTGCACTGGTATTACCTCTTGGGCTGGGGTATGTATTTTATAATTCATATCTTCTCGGTCACTTCTTTCCAATGTTTATGGCACTTTTATACACTAGGGACCTGATCCTGCCACCACTTGCACACATTACTAGCTTTATTCATGAGTGTGTATTAGGACCTAAGTTTGATCTCTTGGGATTTTAAATTTGAACTGGATTTCATTTATTTGCACAGGACAATGTATGCACTCATTGTAATTAATACACACATGTCTGTTAAAGTTAATAGTAGTTGGTATCCTTGATGATGGTAGTCTTGTAAGAAATGGCCAAGTGTTGAACATGTAAATTTCTAACCCCAAACATATAAGGTAATATATCTAAGTATCTCAGAGCAATGTACAGATAAGTAAGTAAACATCCTCAACACCCTGTAACTGACATTACAAATCCATGTGCTACAGAGAACAGATGCAACAACAATTTAAATCACATGCACACAGCCTAGGGAGCCAGGTCTAGAATTCTGCTCCTTCAGCACCAGATATGCAGGCCTCTATTGTGTCTGCAAAAGATGTCCCTTGGTTAGGAATAATAATAGCGGTAGCCCTCATTCTCCTCCGTTGTTTGGCCAGTAAAAGGCAACACATGCACATACACACAGCCAGTCCCTTACAATGGGATGCAGACTCTTTCACTTTAAAATTATTTGCTATAAATCCAGCCCAGATAAGTGGTGACAGAAGGCCCTTACCATCAATACTTTCCTTAGCAGGCTACAGATAATGAATTTCTGGTCTCATTCCAATTCCCAGTGAATGAGTGCCTAGCCCATATCACAAAACTCACAAACACATCTGGAAAGCAGATCAGCGATCTTTGTCCTTTTTCTCATTTATATCTATTTCAGGATTCTTTGCCCATGTCTATCTATTTCAAACCTAAGCTGCAGCCGACAGAATTTACCCTGTGCTGTCCAGCACCCCCTCTGCAGGTTTCATGTCTGCTGAGCTTCTTTTCATTTATGGTAGGAAGAAACCAAACCTCACCAGGAAAAAAAATTGTGGGCTTAGGTATAAACTAGATGAGACAAAAATGAGAACTGGCTTGAACCTGCATCTGTTGCTTAATTCCTCCCCAACCACTTCTCCCATGACAGGTTGATTTAGTTGGGGTTGGTCCTGCTTAGAGCAGGGGGTTGGACTAGATGACCTCCTGAGGTCTCTTCCAACCCTAATCTTCTATGATTCTATGATTCCTTCATAGAAAGCAACAGCACAATGCAATGCTTCGCCCCTTTCACTGGGAGGGATCGCTTCTTAAGAGTGTGGCAACCTCCTCAGCTCCTGAGCTATATGGGACTCAGTATTCCATGGATCACCACTGATCAGAGACCTTAAGAATTAAACAGCACTTAAAAGCTTCTCCCAGTTTAAGCCCCAGAGAACATCTCCTTCCTATAAATTCCAGATTAGATAGAAATCGTCTCTTCCTTTCTTGTGAGATTAGCAACGTTCATGGGAAGGGAGGATTTTACATACTCTAGGATTTAAAAATGCATGGATCATTATGAGCCGTAAACAGCGGGAAGTTTTTTGTCCCTGGACAACTTCATAATTGGGGAAAGGTATGTGCAGCGTCTCTCTCAGTTGAATAGCTCAGCCTGCACCAGAGCAAGCACATCGGCCTTATGAAGGCTCCACAGTTCAGAGTTCAGATTTATTGTGGTGGATCAGGCCCAAACAGGAGAACAGTGAAACGAATACATTTATTTTGGGGTCACGTTTAAATATTTCATTTCTGCACATTAAAAGGGAGTAACCACTTAGAAAGTACAAAAGTTGGCTGGAAGTTCTAGGGCATGACTGCACTATAAGACATGCCACCATGGCACTGGCCCTTAGTTTACAGAGTAAAATGTTGTGTAAATTCTCGTTTCATGGCTAGTGAATGGGACTTATCTGTGTTTGAAAACACTGTATATGTACAACACTATATAAATATAATAATAATTTGATTTCAGAGCTGTCAATTTCAGCACTAGGCGAGCTGGGTTTATTTACCAGACCCACTAAAGCAATGGTAAAACATAGCTTTTAAAGAAAAGAAAATATCTGAGAAAGTTTCCAATGCTTCCCCGTGCTGAGGTAATTAAAATCATTGGATGGGTTCTGTAATATGCTGACCTTGAGGCAACTGTGTATTTCTAGCATGATTTGTTTGAGCAATATTGCCTTCTGAGGCAATATTATTTCAGAGTTTTAGTAAATTACCCCTAAATCACTGGTCAGTTTCAAATGCACTCAGTTACACTCTGTTTTGCTGTTTCAAACAGCGTGAACTGCATTTAATTCAACGGGGGATCATTCGTTAGGGCTGTGCTGAAACAGATTCTTTCACAATATAACTAGAAGTGCACTCAAGCCAAACTCCATTTTGTGCCGTAGCAGGAACAGGCCTCGCTTGTAGGGATTTGTCATATTTATCACTGGTTGGCTACTTTCAGATGCTTCCTAGAAGCTATAATTTGTGATTTTTCACACAACCCAATCAATATAGGGGACAGCACATAGCTGCACCACTCTGAGGAATGACCAAGAGAGGTGTGCCTGGTGCCTAAGGATGCACCGTCTCCTGCAGGGCTTCTTAGTCAGCCCAAGGGGTGTACGCTCTGTTTCATCTATAAGGATGGTACAGATTGCCCCTTCTCTTTCTGGTGCACCAGCCCAGCTCCATGCCCAGGTCTGGGGAAAGAGAGAGTTGAATCACGGTCTCATCTCCTTCCATCCCTCTCTGTATGTTTTGCTTCCTGGAAGAAGTAAAGACCAAGCAGTATTTATTCACTGTTTCTGGTTCACCCCTCCAAACTTTGTGGAACTGCACAAGGGCAGATCACAATTAGGTCTAAATTTGGAGAGTACCATTGGAAATTAAAGCTAGATAAATATGAGCTTGCTGAACTATAATTTACTAATGAAAACTTTCCACTGTGACCTTAAGATGTACATTTGAATGTATAGAGCCAAATTCTCTGTGCATATGCACCTAACAGAATAATAAAACACCACTCTCACCGTGTGTAGCACTGCACCTATAAAACCATGGGTTTACCTGAAAATGTAAATTTTGGTATTACTAAGTGGCTCCATAGAAATGGGATCTGGAGCTATGTTCTTCCTGCTGCTTCTTGTGCATCATTGTCGTTAAAAAGATTCTGCAACTGGAACATCACTAATAATGTTGTTAGTGATGCGTGAAACAGAAAAAGATCTAGTTTGCTCTTCAGTAGCTGCATTGACTCTGCCGTCCTAACTGTAGTGAAAAATTATTTTGGCAGCTGAGTAAGTGGATATCTCTTGAAGACCCCCAAGGGAGCTAATACAGTGACCAAAATGACATCATATTCACATAGTAACTTTTCTGGCCATGAGCATTCTTTGAAGGTGAACTGAACAAAGTTTAGCTTGCCAAGGCCTGAGTTCAGGTCTCTGTGTTCTCCTAAAAGCACTGGTGAGGTCACTGACATCCAAAGCAAGCAATCCAAAGAGCTACATTCCTCCTACTATAGAAAGCAATAAAACTGTTTTTCAACTAGTTCACTTTGAAATGTATTAATTTTAGGGCTGTCGATTAATCGCAGTTAAATCACGCGATTAACTCAGAAAAATTAATCGTGATTAAAAAAATAATCACAATTAATCACAGTTTTAATCGCACTGTTAAACAATAGAATGCCAATTGACATTTATTAACTATTTTTGGATGTTTTTCTACATTTTCAAATATATTGGTTTCAGTTACAATACAGAATACAAAGTGTACAGTGCTCACTTTATATTACTTTTGATTACAAATATTTGCACGTAAAAATGACAAACAAAATAAATAGTATTTTTCAATTCACCTCATACAAGTACTGTAGTGCAATCTCTTTATTGTGAAAGTGCAACTTACAAATGTAGATTTTTTTTTTACATAACTGCACTCAATAACCAATAATGTAAAACTTTAGAGCCTACAAGTCCACTCAACCCATAATACTCTGACTGACCTAGTTAAACCCTTGATGACTAGTTCACTACTTCTAAGGTACTAGTGGGGTGCCAGTGTAACTCAGAGGCAAGCACTGATGGTGATTCAATCGCTTGCCCCCTAAGAACTAGTACAGATGGATTCCAATAACCACTCAGACACTTAGCTAAAGAGAGAATTTTCCCAGGGATGGCAAGAAAAGCAAAGGTTGCAAATACCCTCGATATGGAGGCTTAAACACTTACAACTCAAAGTAAACAATAACAGTTCTTATTTGGGCTGCTGGGGCAGTCCAGTAGAAAGTTCAGAGTCTTCAGGCTTAGTGCCTGGGGTGCCCTCTTCAGCCCAGTCTTCTATTCAAAGCAAATAGGAACTTGCAGGTTTCCAAGCCAGGATCACTTAGTGGTATCTCTTTCATTGGGGCCCCTCTGTACTGGCTTCATGCCCAGTCTCTGCTGCTTCCTCTCAAGTCCCACACAGACATACACCCAGCAGTCACACCTGAGCTACACAGTTCCTGGTGGTTTCTCCATGCAACCAGCTTCCTTGCTGCTCCTGGCTTGACATGCCATTGCCGTAATCCCAAGAACCAGGACACATCCCAAGTCAGGGTCTTTCCATGTTTCTGGGCTCCCTCCACACACATGGTCAAGGGAAGGGGTTGTGCAGGGTTGTTAGATAAGGTCGTTTCCTGCTTACCAGGTCCATCACAGTTTCCGAAGTAAAATAATGTATAAATTAATGCTATCATTTTAGCACAAGCTCCCTTTTCATGGTTCTTAGCCTGTTGGGATGGGAAGTAACATGCAAGCAGAGGGAAAGGCTTGATTACTGAATCACCATGCTGTTAATGGTGGGGGTGGGAAACTACTGTGGCGTGGATGTCCGGAGATTCAAGGGTTTGGATGCAGGATTCTCAAGACCCCCCCCCCCCCCCAGATGATTGGAAAACATCAAGCCTGCTCCTTCGGTCTAGGAGGAGAATAGAGCATGACAGGTTTCCACTGGGCCTTCAGCCCAGTACAAGTGGTTCCCTTATGCAGGATTGGCATAAAAAGAAAAATGGGCCCCCTACAGCAGTCTGTCAGTGTGGTATCCTCCCCTTTCACATCCAAAGAGGACTTACGTGAGCTGATATGGGGATAGGAGGAGTCGGGATTTCTACCATACCCTCCCTACTAATGATAGACATGTGGAGTAGGGCCATCTGAATGTACTGTGGCTAGAAATCTGCAGAATTAGCAGAGTAAACACTCCAAGATCTCATCCACTTGTAAGACTCCTGGCTCCACTCTATACATTTTCTAGGGCCTGAGCCTCAGCTTCAGTAAAAGTAGCCTGGTTGCTGTACTGTCATTTATTGCTCCATCACCTGGCATGCAGAATAAGTTACTGCTGTTCTGTTCAGTGGGGATTTACATACCAAGGAACCCTGCTTTCCAAAGGGAATACTTCATGTAGAACTGCATGTTCCCTCTCTTTCTTCCCCAGTGTATCTGGCCATTCCCTCTTTCCCTGCAGGTATTTCAACATGCCTGGAGTGACTGACAGCAGCTTTGAGCTGAGATTGTAGCATGACACCTCTCCATGGCCGCTTTTGACAGCAGTATCACAATTATTTCCCTCTATATCTCACAACCAAGAAAGCCATATGACCCGAAGTCAGATGGAATTATAATTCTTTTGTCAAAGCTTTGAATTCCCATTTATATGTGATTTTTAAAAAGAAGAAATGTTATTTTTAGTGTCACATGAACGGCATGCCAAAAAATATGAAGGCTGATTTATACCTTTAATCATTGTAGGGTTTCCTTTAGTGCCAGCATCTATTCACGCTGTTGCAAGAGCCAAATACTTCAATGACAAGTGAGTATTACATATATTTTAAAGGTACTTAGCACATTTTATAGCTATGTATAAAAACGTATTTGAGTTAATGATATATTCTTCCCCCAGCTGCTGGATGAGCGTTGACACTCACTTGCTCTATATTGTTCATGGACCCGTAATGGCGGCTTTATTGGTAAGAATATTATGTTAACAGTTTAGTTACTCTTCCCGGAAATTATGCAAAATTGCATTGTATAGAAGATTCTATATCTTAAATAGGTTGGCCAAGGTTTTCAAAGGTAGCAAGTGATTTTGGATGCCCCACCTGAGACCCCTTAAAGGGACTTGATTTTCAGAGGGTGAGTGCTCAGTGTTTTCTGAAAATCAAGCTCCTTCAAGGTGTCTCAGGTTGGGCAATCTAAAAACAGAAGCATCCAAAATCATTAATTCCTTTTGAAAACCATGGCCAAGCTATTTAAATTACCAAATCTTCTATTCTATGCAGTTAACCTTACTTGTGCTACATGTGCTGCATTATATGTGGTATAAATGAAATAACTATGTTTCAGACTAGCCTAGGCAGGGTGCTGAGACCAAGTCAATAATTCAGCATTGGTTTTCATAAATTCTGAGGCAGAAGGGAACATTGTGATCATCTTGTCTAACCTCCTGCATAACACAGGCCACAAAACTTCCCCAAAATAATTCCTGTTTGAACTAGAGCTTGGCTTTTACAAAATATCCAGTCCTGATTTTAAAATTACTTTTCCCTAGAAACATGATAGATCTTTACAAGATAGAAAATTACCAGTAATGGAGAATCCACCACTATCCTTGGTAAATTGTTCCAGTGATGATTTACCCTTTTTTGTTGGATGCTGTGGGAAAGAGAAAAGAGATAGGGAGCTAACCTGGGAAGAGGCTGGGGGGATAAGAACCTGAATAGAATGCTTGAGTAGGGGAAGCACAGAGCACGAGACGGCAAATCAAGGACGTTGCAGCTAGGAATCCCAAGGTTGGCTTTTTTGTTTTTTTTTCCTCACTCACTCTGTCTTGCCGCCCTAGGCACCTACAAGTTCTGCCCATATAGTAAAACCAACCCCGTAACTTCCATTAATGTTCATAGGACATGAGTGTATGCATCAGGGAACCCATTAGTTCCACTGTCCTATTACCATAAGATACTCAAATTGGTATAACAGACCTGAACACCCTGAAATTTTGGGAAAGTTTTTATTCAAACCAAACATTAGTCCCATCTCCATTTGTCAGCCAGATGCACTGTGTCAGCATCCCAACAGACTCAACATTCATTGGCTTGGGATCCAACATCTACTTGCAGACATCCACATTATTTTTCTGAGAGATCAAATGCGATGGTGATGAGCATTGTGGAAATGTCTATAAATGAACATGGATCTGTTTCAGAGTAGTTAAAAATCTTTAAAATCTCGTTCTAAATCTCCTTTAAGAACTGTTACTGGATTTCAGCAATACCAAGCTGCACTATGCCTCCTAAAAATTGTCTAGAAAATCACTTACTATCTCTGTTCTAAGTTTAATTGCTCTAATCACATATGGGAAATGGAAAACTACACATGACAGTTTTGTAATATAGCATTTGTGAAAACAAGTCACCCTGCTTGGTGTGGTAACAAATTTTCTTGCCTGGAATGAGAATACTCAGTGAGCATCTCCTCTTTACAATCACTCGCAGCCAATGTTCCCTCTAATTTTTTATATCCACGTGCGGAATTAATTTTGTTATGTGCACCACTATGGAGGTGACATGTGGCAGGGGTGGGGCCAAGGGATTCGGAGTGGAGGTCTCAGGGCTGGGGCAGAGGATTAGGGTGCGGGAGGGTGAGGGCTCCAGCTGGGGCTGAGGGCTCTAGGAAGGGGTCAGGAATGAGGGGTTCAGGGTGTGGGAGGGGGCTCTGGACTGGGGCAGGGGGGGTGAGGGCTCCAGCTGGGGCTGCGGGCTGTGGAGTGGGGCTGAGGATGAGGAGTTTGGGGTGCAGGCTGACCTGGGGCTGGGGCCAGAGGACTCCCCCCAGCCCTCTGCCTGCCAGCAGCAGCTCCCAGGAAGAGGCACTTCTCCCTGCCGGCAGCAGCTCTGGGGCTCGGGGAGAGGTGCCTTTCCCCGCGGCAGCCCTGCATGCCCCCAACTTGCTCTCCTCCCCGCCTACCTCTCTCCTCTCCCCAGACCCCTGTGGCTGCGCGCCTGCATGGCCCTTTTGTCACGGACACACAGTACTCGTGCTCTCTTCTGGCTCTGTACGGTCCCTGGGAGGAACCCCGTTCAGTGCAACAGCCCTTCTTGGGAGTCCACTCTCTCTCAAAGGTTAAGCCATAGGCCCCTCTGCCTTCTGGAATCGCACCTCTCTGAACTCCTGTCTCTCACTGTGGGCCCCCTCAGGGAGTCCATTCACTCTGTATCCCCCAGGTCCTCCACCCCCAGAGGGAATAATGCAACCCTGATCTCTAGACCGGAGTGACTCTCAGACAGCGTAAAACAGAAGGGTTTATTGAGCATCTGAACCCAGCACAGGAAACTCTCTGGGCCCTCAGGCCTAGCATCCCTCAGTACAGTACATCTAGATCTCTCCTGCATCCAGGTGAGCTCTGGCTGCTCTCTCTTGCCAGTCCAGCAGCCCCCTCCTTCCAGCTGAGGCATCCTATATCACCATCCCCACCACTCCTCCCTGTCCTTTGTCTTCCATCCCAGGTAAACAGGTTGCTGGGCCCTTTCTCCTCCATCCTATGTCCTCCCTGTGGCTGGAATTGGTTGGTCAGGTAACCGGGATCCTCTCTCCTCAGCCCATTGTCCTTCCACTGGCCAGAGCTGGCTGCCTTCCAAGCTGGGCTGGGCCTCTTGGTCACCAGGTCACCAGTCGCTAGGATCCCTCATCTCCAGGCCATTGTCCAGGATCCCAGGTGCTAGGCGAAGTCACACCTGGTCCTCTGCAACAACAAACCCTCTCCCACCACCTTGTTAAACATGCAGCACATAGGGAAACTGAAGCGCACACACACACTATTCATGTAAAACACTAGAAAATTCCCCAACTTCGTCACACCTTTATAGCCTGCTGCATGGCCGTGCAGCTTAGAGGGAACTTAGCTCACAGCACCGGATTTATTAAAGCAGCCTAAAAAATTTTCTGCTGTCATAATGCTGAGATCTGACAGAGGGCACATAAGACTTTTCGGATTTTTAATACTCTTCTCCAGTGCTGTATATTTCAGACACCCTAAGAAAAAGATCTGTCATGTTTCTAGGGAAAAGTTAATCTTTCTTTAAAATAGAGCTAATCCAGGCATGAGAAGGTGCTTAACCTGGAGAGACAGGGTTTAAGTCCCCTCTTGCGGGTGTGCAGGGGGTCAATGGTTTATGGGAGCCCCACCATCCCAGGTAATGCCTCCCCACCACCACCCCAATCCACAAGGGAGGGTGATCTTTAAGGGAGCTACTACCTTTTATTTCCTTACCCATCCAGAAAAAGCCCCTCTGCCTTTGAGGTTGTAGGGGCTGTGTTATAATAGCTGGTTTGAAACTCTGCTGAGCATAATGTGGATGTGTCATGGAAACACAATATCTGCTCTTTGCCCAGCAGAAACAGAGAGTGGCAGGCAGGTTCAAAGGAGCCACATCTTTTTACCTTGGCAGACATTTTTTTTAATCCGTTGCCTGAAGGAATTCTGAAAGTGAAGGTTAGGTGATCTGAGTCAGCAAAGCCTGGGGGAAGCCTCGAGAATAAGTGGCAAGTGGGGACACAGAAATCATTTATTATTCCTTGTTAAGCAGAGCACAAATGTAAAACATTTGAGGTATTTCTCAGTAGTTCCAATACTGAAGCTTTTCTGCTCATGGCTTTTCATGCTGGAAGGCCCAGATACGCTCTCTCATCTATTTATGGAGTTACAACTATTTTAATATAGCTCTGAGTAATACAGCAAAATCATTTCAGTGTTTTCAAAAATCTGACAAGAGCCTATTACAGTGCAGAATCTGTGTCACTGCTATGTGCATGATATCATGCCATCAGTGTGAAAGTACATGAGCTAGCTGTACTAGAGAGATGGAAAGTCCACATTCTGCTTATACTCAGGCTGTACCATTTCCTTAGGGACCAGATGGCCTGATTTCCAGAGGCGATAAGCATGCACAGCTCCCATTGGCTTTAGCAGGAGTGCATTTGGATATCTGACCACAAATGTGAGTGCTGAGCCCTTCTGAAAATCCTGTCCTTAATGCCCCAAACCATCAAAGTACTTAAGCGCATGCTTAACTTTAAGCACATGAGTACTACCATTGAGTTCAGTAAAGAACTCAATGGTATTCAGTGGGCATAATTTTAGTGCTTTGCCGGATTGGAGCCAGAGAGCTCAGCACCTTACGGGATTGAGCCCTTATTGCCCAAAAAGGGATTTAGGGGGCATATCCTCCACTGATGTAAATCTGGCAGTAGGTGTGCTAAGGCACCCAAGGTTACATAGTTTGGTCTGTATGTCAATCACAATGAGCTGTTGTTATGAGCTCTGACGGGGCCATGAAGCTGTGTTGTGCTGTCATTGCTGGGTTTTGTATTTTAATTTGAGTGTTTTACCAATAAAGACTCTGTTTTTTCAGGTAAATTTTTTCTTTTTGCTTAACATCGTCCGAGTTCTGGTGACAAAGCTAAGAGATACTCATCGGGCTGAGTCCAACATGTACATGAAAGCTGTCAGAGCCACACTAATCCTGGTGCCCTTACTAGGAATTCAGTTTGTCATTATTCCCTGGAGACCAGAAAACAGACTTGCTGGAGAAATATATGATTACATCATGCATATATTAATGCATTACCAGGTATGGAATATCATAGCAAGTTAGGTGTACATGTATTTGCCAGTAGCATTAATTTTAGCAGAGAATTCATTTGCCAAATGCTTTGTCTCTGAAAGTAATCATGACCGCTTGGGCTTTTTTTCTTTTTCTCCAACATTTTCACATCATATATTACCTTCTTCTGTGGCTCTATTATTAGTGTGCAAACAGTCATCAGTAGCTGGGGAAAATGCTTCAAGAATTACAGAATAGTGATGTTTCTGCACTGAGTAGAGAAAATTGAGATCTCAGAGGGCTTTAAATGTTGTTCAAACCCCTGCTAATGCAAATGTGCTCAGACAGCCTTTCCGAAAACACTGCAGAGGGGATGATATTAAAATTAACTGTATGTGGAAATCACTGTGTTAAGGAAGAGATGTTTGTATACAGTGGAAGAAAGGATCAAGATGCTTAAGGTTCAGTTAATTGTTAATTCACAATTTTAAGCTGTTTAAATTAAAATACAACTCTAACATTTTGATTTTATAAGCATTTTGAAAGAACAGCATCAATATTTCAAAAGGGCTGCCTTCTATTTTCTTTCTTTTGTACAGTAATGCATCATTTTCAATTGCTTGGCTGTCTACCCTGGCCTCAATGCATGCTGTCCATCATTCACCAGGGGTGGCAGACTTCAAAAAATTGCACTTGTGATATGAATATTAGACATGTGTAAAGTGAACAAACATTCCATTGGCCTCTACTTTTTTTTTTTCCATGCAGAGGCTCATGATGAAAAATTATTTGAAAGTTATAGATCAGTGAGCCAGTGTGCAAAACAATTCCCCCCTCCCAAGGGGAAAGTAATAACATAATAATTCAACTGATATCTGTGTATCTGTTACCTTAACATATTAGGCTATATTTTCAGCTGCATGTACAATGATTATCTACCTCTCAAAATGCCTGAAAACCAGTGTACCTGGGAAACCACAAATTTGCCTGCATATATCGCAATTGCATGAGCAAAAGTCGTGCATAACAAGTGCATGTGTATTTTAGTAGGTGTTGTACCTACACCGCTGTGCTATGCCTTGCTTATCAATTATAGTTCCCAGGAAAACTGCTCATTCACAACTTAAAAGTATTTGGTGGAAAATGAAATTATTTTACGTAAAATAAGCTACTTGAAAAAAAACTATGTTGGATTTTTGCTAATAATGACACACAATTCTTTGTGCAAGTAAACCACTGAATGAAAAACTAAAAATAAATTCAGGGGGCCTATATTTCCTAGATAGAAAAGTTTACAGCAGAAGCTGTTTCCACTCATTTCTTGTAAATAAATTTTAATTATTTAGGAGATGCTTATTTCAGCATGGCCAAGTGCCTGGTTAGTAGGGACAGCCAGGTGTGACTCTTAAAAGCTCCATCTTTATATCATAATTCCCATCAGACATAGTGAGAAGGTGTGTATCTTTTCCTGTCGTGGGCACCTCTGTGTATTGTCACGTCTGTGGTCTCTAGGGATACAAGTGTGCCTTTCCAAACATCGTAACTGGGTTTCAGGCTAATGATACAGCTATCTCCACTTACAGAGAGGCAATGTGACCGTTGGGATAATCATTTTATTTATAAAGCACCCACCAGTGCCAGCAGGATTGTCAGGAAACAACACAGAGAATTAATACAACATCCTAATAACAAACAGTAGGCATTAGAGCATACCACAGGCACTGGAAAAAACAAACAAAATCCTAAACAGAGGTATCACTGAAAAAAAGGGTAGTCCTTCCATGTCATTAGAAGGGAAAACACAGCTGGAAGAGAAGTGCCCTCAAACACGGTTGTAAAGTGGGGAGGGATAAGGTGAGGCAGAGGTCCAAGAAAGGCAAATTCTACCTCCTATGGGCTTCCACAGCCACAGATCAGTCCCCGAGCAAGTAAAATGGGTCTCATCTGCCTGACTCCAAGAGACGGGATCCCACTTGTGGATTACAAGCAGACATAGTCACTTCCGTGCAGCCCAGACTTAGACACATATCCAAGAGCAGGGCAAACTTTGGCACACTCATCTCTGGTCATATCTCTCATTGGTTAGTTTAGGCAGCTCCTCGCCTACTTTACTGGCTTTCTGGATCATATCCTAAGGCACCTGGCTCTCCCCATTCATTGTTTAGGGATCCTAAGTGCCAAACTTGGCTTTGTGGATCTCAGTGTGGTTCCTGTGATTTTCTAGGAACCTAAAAGTTAGGCACCATGATGCTCAGTGTTGCAACCCCCCGTTCACATAGGCACTTGTCGCGGAAAATCTTTTGTCTTTTCGAGGGTGGGGGAGTTAACACCTCTGAAAGACAGAAGTTTTGTCCTTCAATTGCCAGTGGAGACATAGCCTGAGTCCCTTCATGGATCCCACCCTATGTTCTCTAACCTTGTTCAGAGAAGTTCTACGTGACATGTCAGTCCATTATTCCGTATATCCCAGCATTCCTACCAACAGCCACTCCACTGACCGGAGCAACAGAAAACTTTATCTAGCATCTCCTAGTGTAAACAAATCCTGGGACGTTTGGCCAGAACTCTTAAAGTTGGTTGGTACAGAGCATTGGAAATATGAGTTACCTCGTAATTATCAGTGTTTCCAATAGCAGTGGTATATGGTCATAATGTATTACATAGCAACATGTAACAACATAAGTTATCTTATTATGTGATCCTTAGCTGGGTATCAAAATTCAGATTTTTTTTTTTGTAGTTTTATTATGAGTTAGAGTTTTGGATCATTTTCAGATCATTTCTTTTACAGGTATTTCTTATAACAATCACATATTCAGAATAGTCACATATGTGATCTCTGCGTGCTCATTTTCTTCTAGCACTGTTGATGTAATTAGCAGTTATTTCTTTGTATGGTTTGTAACTTTTATGTTCGGCTCTGAATTGTTTAAATACTTGTTTTCCCGGCATCTTCTCATAGATAGTATGACAGATTTGGGGTTTGTTTGTTTTTCAATAACCCAGTATGTGACAATTGTGATTTGACATACTGAACAAACCTTCCACTCGCAACAAGTACAAGTACAGACTGCAATGCTGCAGTCTATTGTCAGAATAGGATGACTGAAGATCATGAATGACAGAGTATTTGTTCCCAGAATAAACTGTACTTTTTTCACAGGGTATTATTCCCAGCTGGAAAACAATACAGTGAGATGTTCCCTGCTAGGTTTCCCACACTAAAGGTCAATTTGAATAATAGGAGACACTCTTGCTCTAAACTGTTCTTTCTTCTTTATGAAATTATCCTCCACACTCATCATTTTAAGCAGAAGAGGTCTATTTCCCCAAACATTCTACTTCACAGCAAACATATGCTATTCATTATCTGGGCTATGATAGGTTATTTGTTCATCTCTCAAATGCAGTGCCTCAGTATTCTCACATCATGTTTGTTACTATACATAGGCCAAAATCCTCCTAGCAGATCTGTGGAGTTGATCTAGAAGTTATAAAAAGGAAACCTTTTTTTTTCCCCCCTCCCAATTGTGGCACGGAAAAATGGTGTAGGCTGGTGGACTCAATCACCAGCCTGGGGAAAATAATCAGCACTGCCTAGTTCAGTTCATGGTCTTTACCTCAGGGACCTGTTTATTCTCCAATACAAAAAAAGGAAACCTGGAGCAACAAAATAATATAATAACCCTATTCTCAACTTTGATTGTGGGGCTCCCTGGGCTTAATGGACTAGACATCCACCCCAATAGGAAGTGGGCCACAGGGCTCCCACCCCCTCACGGTCCTCTGCTGCAGTCACAGAAGAGTTTATTCCTAGCCCTCCTGGTCACAGGCTCCCTTAGGGAGCTGGGGCCTTCATGTATATTCCCTAGCTGGTAATCAGACCCAATAACCTGATGCTACCAAGCTGTGTTAGATGATTCCTAGCACCTCCCTGCTGGTCTTGTCTCCAGAACAGGGCTGGCTGCTTCCCCAACCCCTCTGAACCTTAAATCCATGTTACAAATGGCTTCTTTGCTCCAGATATGAATATCTGCTGTTTCTGCACCACAGTGGTTTGAAGAGATCTCTCAAATGGAAATTTAGAGCCCGCCTCACCATCACCAATACAAGTTGTGCAGTTTCAAAATATGTGGAACTGAAGATTACATAAAACAGAAGAGGTACTTCCCCCTTAAGAGGAGTATTTAAAGCATAGCAGCTATCTCAGAAGCAGAGGCTCTAGCTAGAAGGATGGACACATCTATCCAACTAAACACAGACATCCACTAATGTACGTGTCACAAAGCAAAGATTTGAATTCCAGAACATCAAGTTAATTATGGATTTTCCTTAGAGGGCATGATTTTCAAAAGCCTGTAAAATCACACTGGCAGTTTAGGGAAGACATCCTGCTCCCATATATCTCATACAAAATGTTGTACACAGGTTCCTTTCACCAGCACTCAGCACTCAGAAGTCCCTTATGAGCATGAAGAAATTTCTCCACAGGACCGAAGAGATGGACTTATATGGAGAGCAAGCGGCATCCCATAAAGGAATGAAGTGGTGTTCACCAGGGAGTTCGGGTGTGAATTCTGCCCTCCCATTGTGCTTGCACTCATGCAATGCAAATCCACACTGCCCCTTACTGCAGTCTATGTGAGATCCAGCTACAGCCCCAAGGTACTTCAGCATGTGCCTAACTTTAAGCACCTGAATAATCCTGCTGCTGTCAATGGTGATATTCACAATGTCTAAAGCTACTCATGTGCTTAAATACCTTGCTGAATCAGAGCTCCTGAAACTTGGAGTTAGCCCTTCATAAGAAATAAGATTAATTCAACATTTTGTATCAGCTTCTGAGCAAATGCTCAGTATTCAAGCACTTGCCTTGTCAAAGGACACAGCTCACAGGAGGTCACAGGCCTCAATTACATGATGTTTGCTCTGTATTTTCTCAGAGCCTGTTTGATTTTTTTTCGAGAGAGAGATTGCCTGGAGCTTGTAAATTTAACTCCTGCTGACAAGTGGAGGAATTGCTTTGT